AACAAAATGAACGAATGCATTTCAATTGAAATGGTCACATATCCATAAATTGAGAAGCCACTTAGAATTGAGGTAGAAGAAAAACAACAAGGTACGGAACAAGAACAAATACTTGGTGAGGATTACCCAATCCCAAACCAAATATCCACGGAAGAAGAACTAGAGCTGCAAGAATTCCCACCTATGAAACTCCCGAACATTTCCGGTTATGCAACCAGGTGTTGGGGATATAGGGGAAGCATAATATCTCACCCAAATCTAGCAAATCCTACATCCAGCTGTATCCATCCTTCAACACATAACCGAGAAACCTTCGGAAATCATTTACCTCAACCTTCGAAAAGCATCCATTATACGAGTTATGGCAATACTCCTGAACTCCTGCCCCAGTACTGGGTGTCGTCGAGGTTATCTCACCAACAACTACATAAAAGAGATTTTCGATGTCGGCGAAACTCAGGTATTCCAGAATCTCGACGATAAAATTGTGACGACAACACCTCGGAGCTCAACTCCCCGGGACACTGCCACAACCCCTAAATGACAGGAGGCACCAAGAACAATGTTCTCATCACCAATCGATCGGAACGATTCCAAGATACCCGCGTGATCCTAATTTTTTTAGTGAAATTTGAGAAGAGAAGAGTCAAACCTCTACGTCAGGATGCCTTACCAGAGCGACGAAGGGACTAAGGAGTAAAAAGAATTTCTACTCTCCGATATATATAATCCTAAATGACTCAAAACATTTTTCTAGACTCAACTCATCCGCTAATTTGATCAAGCAATGGGGCTCCTAAGGTCGGGGAAGGCTCTGATTACCAACTTGTAACACCCTCGATGCGGCTATATCTCCCACGTGTCGACGCACGACTTAGAGGCATAACCGCATTGAAAGCAATGTCGCAAGTGAGGTAATCTTCACACAACCCATGTAATACATAAGGGAAGGAGATACATAGTTGGCTTACAGTCGCCACTTCACACCATTACATGAATAAAGCATTACATCAACCAGATACAATCAAGGTCCGACTACGGAACCAAAATAAAAGAAGACTACCCCAAATGCTACACAGATCCCCGATCGACCCCAACTAGGCTCCACTACTGATCAACTGGAAGCGGATCAACAAAAAAGACAAGATTTTCATCGAGCTCCTCCTTGAGCTTGGTTGCGTCACCTGCACGATAACATCGGCACCTGCAAACTGGTTTTGGAAGTATCTGTGAGTCACGGGGACTCAGCAATCTTACACCCTCGCGATCAAGACTATTTAAGCTTATAGGAAGGGTAAAAGGTATGAGGTGGAGCTGCAGCAAGCGACTAGCATATATGGTGGCTAAACATATGCAAATGAGAGCGAGAAGAGAAGGCATTGGGGAGTAAAAATAATTACTAAACTCTCTGATATATAATTCCTAAAGACTCAAAACATTTTTCTAGACTTGACAACGCCAATGATTCGATCAAGCAGGGGGCTCCTAAGGTCGGGGAAGGCTCTGATTACCAACTTGTAACGCCCTCGATGCGGCTATATCTCCTACGTGTCGAAGCACGACTTAGAGGCATAACCGCATTGAAAGAAATGTCGCAAGTAAGGTAGTCTTCACAACAACCCATGTAAATATATAAAAGGGGAAAAGGTACATAGTTGGCTTACACTCGCCACGTCACACAAATACATGAATAACATTACAATCATCCAATACACTCATGGTCCGACTATGGTACCAAAATAAAGACCAACCCCACATGTGACACGGTCCCCGATCGCCCCAACTGGGCACCACTACTGATCATCTGGGAAAGACACATAGTAACGGCGAGAGTCTTCATCGAACTCCCACTTGAGCTCAAGCGCATCGTCTGGAACGGTATCGTCGATCCCTGCATCTGGTTTGGAAGTAAACTGTGAGTCACGGGGACTCAGCAATCTCGCACCCTCGCGATCAAGACTATTTAAGCTTATAGGTAAGGCAAGGTATGATGTGGAGCTGCAGCAATCGACTAGCATATATGGTGGCTAACCTGATCGCAAAAGAGAGTGGGAAGAGAAGGCAAAAGAACGGTCGAACAACTATGATCAAGAAGTGATCCTAGAACAACCTACGTCAAGCATTACTCCAACACCGTGTTCACTTCCCGGACTCTACCGAGAAGAGACCATCACGGATACACACAGCGTTGGTGCATTTTAAATTAAGTTAAGTTTCATGTTATCTACCGGACATTAACAAATTCCCATCTGCCCATAACCACGGGCACGACTTTCGAAAGTTCAAATCCCTGCAGGGGAGTCCCAACTTAGCCCATCATAAGCTCTCATGGTCAACGAAGGATATTCCTTCTCTCGAGACATTCCGATCAGACTCGGCATCTCGGTTTTACAAGACATCCTTGATAATGGTAAAACAAGTCCAGCAACACCGCCCGAATGTGCCGACAAATCCCGATAGGAGCTGCACATATCTCGTTCTCAGGGTACACTCAGATGAGCTCTCCATACAACTAAAACCAAACCTCGAGTTTCCCCGAGGGGGTGCTGCACAGGGCTCTAGTTTGGACCAACACTCAGAGGAGCACTGGCCCGGGGGGGTTTAAATAAAGATGACCCTCAGGCTCCGGAAACCCAAGGGAAAAAGAGGCTAGGTGGCAAATGGTAAAACCAAGGTTGGGCATTGCTGGAGGAGTTTTATTCAAGGCGAACTGTCATGGGGTTCCCATTATAACCCAACCGCGTAAGGAACGCAAAATCAGGGGACATCACACCGATATGACGGAAACTAGGGCGGCAAGAGTGGAACAAAACACTAGGCATAAGGCCGAGCCTTCCACCCTTTACCAAGTATATAGATGCATTAAGATAAACAAGGTAATATGGTGATATCCCAACAATAAACAATGTTCCAACAAGGAAAGATCTCCAATCTTCACCTGCAACTAGCAACGATATAAGAGGGGCTGAGCAAAGCGGTACCATAGCCAATCAACGGTTTGCTAGGACATGGTGGGTTAGAGGTTTGACATGGCAATTTGGGAGGCATGATAAGCAAGTGGTAGGTATCGTAGCATAGGCATAGCAAAAGAGCGAGCATCTAGCAAGCAAATATAGAAGTGATTTCGAGGGTATGGTCATCTTGCCTGCAAAGTTGTCAGAATTGAGTTGATCCTCGTAAGCGAACTCAACGGACTCCTCGTTCATGAACTCGTCTCCCGGCTCTACCCAAACAAAAACAACAAGCAAACGGAACACAATCAACCACGTGCAATGCTCAAGCAACATGATGCAAACATGGTATGATATGCGGGATGCGGTATGCGATGCATATGCAAAATTTGACAAAGGAATGATTGAACCTGACCTCAACATGGAAATCCAAGAGTGCCACTGGAAAGGTGAGGTGATTTCGGTTGAAATCGATATAAAGAACACCGGAATCGGATGCACGGTTTGGAAATGGCAAACAAAACAAATATGGCACCGGTCTGCGATAATCAGCAAGTGACCAACTAAATGCAACAAGATAAATATGCTACAACACCCAAACATAACAACAAAATACATGGCAGGGATCCACTCATGATGCTTGACAAAAGATGAACACTGAGCTACGGCTAATTCACCCATTAACAGGTTCAAACAAGCATGGCAAAAGTGCAAATGATAACAGGTTTCAGACTTCGTGAAATTAACACAAGTCTGAAATTTATCATCAGGTAGCACACTTTAGAGCATGAAAACTACAAGCTACAGGAACTTAACATGGCAAAGCAAGGCATGTCATGAAGCTACTCAAAGCACTTAACAAAAGTCCCTTAGTGACCTTGAGCCAAAAGGGATCAGAAAATACAATTGCAAGCATGTGAACATAGCAAAAACATAAACAAATTCAGACTTAGTGAAATTCCAGGACATGACAAAAACAGATTCAACATGTCATCTTTATAAGCTTGATTAACTCACTACAAGGCATGTCATGGCATGGGACAAGTTCTAGCAGGAAGTATACATGAGAATGAAGCTAACCATGTGCCAAACCACCTCATAGCATGTTTGAAATAAATCACACAAAAATGGCAAAACAACATCATGATGTAAAATGACATGTTTATGAACTTGCTCAAATGCAGAAACTAATGCCACCACGGGATTGGTGGGATTTTTCTACCCCAAAAACATATATAATATGTTGGGGTTGCTGTAGAAAAAACCACCACAAGTGCAATAAGTTAAAAACTGCCCCAAATGGAATATGTCAGAATTGGAATTTTCCTGAAGTGGAAATGTCCAGAATTGGACTTGCCTGATTCGGAAAGATTCCCTATTCCAGAAAAGGAATATTCGCCGGACTAAAAGATACTCCCTCAATTCCAAAATATAGTGCGCCTGCGCTTTCCGAGGTCCAACTTTGACTATAAATTTAACCAACGAGACCAATTGCGGCGGGAGAAAAAAATTATATAAATGAAAACTTCTTTCGAATACGAATTCACTGATATAATTTTTGCTCCCGCCGCAATCGGTCTTGGTAGTTAAATTTACGGTCAAAGTTGAAGCAGGTGGATAAAGGAAGCACTACATTATGGAATGGAGGGAGTAATTAAAAGAAATAAGAGAAGGAGGGGGTGAGGATGACATGTGGGGTCTTCCTGTCAGTGACTCCAATAACCCAAAAAAATAGGCCTAGTTTAATCTGCGCCAATGGGGAATCGAATCCGGGTCACCTGGGTGGAGACACGGCGCGGGAACCAGTCGGGCTATTAGCGTGATCCTGATAAGAGGGGAGCTCGCTCCTTTTGAGGTAAGCTCTCCTGGTACGGGTTCCTCTCCTGGGCAGAAGAGAGAAACGCCGACGGCGCCGGCGAGCAACGGCGGGGCTCAGGAGGTGGCGGCGAGTGTGCGGGATCAGCAGGGCAGTGCGCGTGCGGTGCAGGAAGGGAACATGCGCGCATGTGTGGGTGTGCGTGTGGGCAGGAGCTTGCCGAGCTTGCGACCATGGCGACGAACACAGCGAGGCAGGGCTACAACAGCACTGCATGAGCTGTTGCACTGCAGGGGCGTGCGTGCGTGTGTGTGTGAGAGAGCAACTTGGGTATCCGAAGCTGGAGAACGCGCGGGCGCGCTGCAGCAAGTACACACACAAGGAAATTTGCAGACTTAGCTGGAGCATCGCGAGCGCGTCAAAGACACAGATCGGGCGAGTCCTACGGGGTGTCTACACGCCATGCAAAAGACTGGAGAGGGAGGTGCGTTACCCAGCTCACCCTAGGACATGACGAGCTTGCCGGAGACGCGCTGAAGGCGACGAGAGGGAGCTCTGAAACTGGCGGGGCTGCTGTCCAGGAAGAAGAGGAAGAAGACAGGTCGGAGAAGTCGATCTAGAAGCCTTGTGGCCGCGTGCGTCGTGGAAGGAGACATAGCGGAACTTGGCGGACTCCCCCACGGCGGCAGAAGAGATCGGACGTGGTCGGAGAGGCTACCCCGAGCTCGAGCTCGAGCTCGGCCGGAGCATGGTGGGCAGGGCGATGGCGTGGGCGTGGAGACTCACCTGGAGGCGGAGAGGGAAGAAGATGAGGGGGAATCGGTCAAGAGGAGACCCTAGGGCACCGGGGACAACTTTATAGGGGTCTAGGGGCGAACTCCGGCCGTCAAATCATCGAGAGTGCCGACGTGGACACGCTGGATGCACTGCCGTATAGGAGGACGAAGCTCCTGTACGCGTGGGCTGACTGGGCTGCAGTTGATGTGCTCTGATGGGCTGCTGGAGAGGGAAAAAGCCCAAGTAAGGCCTTTGCCCTTTTTATTTAGTTCTGTGAATTAAATCCACAGCTGTAAAAAAAAAGAAAAGTCCAGGGAGGTAGGAGAGGTATATGGCAGAAATAGAAATAGCCACAAGCTCCTAGAATTATAGGCCATTTGAATAAGTTGCTTTGGGGATTTTTTAAAAGAAGAAAATTAAATCAAGTTTGAATTAAATTTGAACTTGAGTCAATTTTTAACCTAACCAAAACATATTCAAATGAGTTGAAAATTGGCGGAGAGGATGTAGGGATGGTGCAAGATTTAAAGGGAGAAGATGAACATTAATGGAGTAGTGCAAATATGGCACTTGCAAGACAAGAAAAGAAAGGGAAGGAGAGGAGGTGATGGTGCAACGGTTTGAGAGGGTGACAAGGATAATGCACATGATGCTCATGGCTACAACATGAATGACCAAATGCAACATGGCAAGCACAAAGCTATACTAGATATGACCAAGATGCAACATAAGATGGCAAAAGAAATATGACAAGTAAAGACAAGACAAAGCGAAGGGAAACAAAGCAAACGCAAAATGAAACCCACCAAGAGGAAAAACCACAAGGTATTGAACATGCCAAGGCTGGATACGTTGCCAAATTTGGAAGTTTTACAACTAGGGTGTTACAGTCGAGGTCCACCGTCTCGTCTTGGGTAGCGAACCTGGGAGACACGGCGGCGGCGGCCGAGCCTGCCTTGATGATGTCGTCCATGTCGGCCTCGGTCACGTCGGTGTCGCCGAGGTGCGACGTGGACGCTTGTGAGAAGGGCAGCGCGCCACGATGGAGAGGGGGCGTCGGGGAGGTCGTGTAGGCCGGCGGTGAGTAGTTGTATGGCGGGTACTGCACGCCGGCGAAGGGGGTGAGGGGGTGCGCTGGGCCGAGTGACCATGGGGGAAGGTGATGTTGGGGTTGAACCCACCATGCGCGTCCCCGTCCGCGTAGCCCGGCGAAGGCGTGCATCACCACGGCTGCGGCGATGGCGAGAAATCGGCCGGTGAACCGACACTTTGCTGGCTCCAGGGCGCGTACTAGGCGTGGCCGCTGGGCGCATTCATCATCCCCACGCGGGCCGCCTCGGCTTGTTCTGCCGAGCGCTCCGCTTGATCCGCCGCAGCCGCAGCCGCGAGCGCCGCGCTGTCCCGGGCCTTCGTGGCGTTGGCCCTGTTCCGCCGGTCGGTGGTGACAGCCTCCCGACGCTGAACTTCCGTCCTGCAGTCGGCGTTGGACATGCTCGGTGGCTTGGATGGCGGCGCCCTCGGCTTCCTATGCTTCGGCTGGGCGACGGCGGCGGTCGAAGCAGTGGCGGCGCGTGGGATCACGTATTTCTTCGGCGGCATGGCGGCCGACTAGGAGGGGAGGAGGGAGATTGGCGGGAGGAATGGGGCGAATGAGAGGGAAGACGGGGGGAAAGCGGGAAGAAACGGCGGAAAAAGGCTCTCAACTCGCCGATAAAGCGGCCCCACGCCCCTTTTTGCTTGTGCCGGCGTCCCCGAGCGCGCCGGGTTCGGCTCGGGTGCGCTGGCTGTTATTTTGGCCTAACCCGGCGAAAAACGGACTCATGGAGCGCGACTGGGCCGACTTTCGCCGGCCGGCGCTAAAAAAACGCTGGGGGGGGGGGGGCTCTTGGAGGCGTGGCTGAAGATGCTCTTACGGGGTTAGATTTATAGGTTTGTTCTTTTTCAGATTTGGAGGGAACTAGAAATTGACGGGGAGTGAAATTTGGAGCTCGAAATCCATGGCGCCCTATTTAGTTGGTGAGGGGATTGAGATTTAGCGTCTTTGTTCAAAACAGAGCTTCAGTGCGTCTTGCAAAGTTTTGAGTAATCTTTTCTTTTCGAAAAACCTTTTCTCAGGGGCAGGGGTTTCTGCAAGTTCCATTAGAAGAATGGAGGCGACCAAGTTTATAAAGAAACATCGGACCCAAAAACCTAAAATTGCCTGGTTGGTTGGGAAAGGCCAAGTGAAAACCAAATGCTCTACATAACAAACAAAAAACCCACTAGAGATTGGGTATAGGGACTTGAAAGAAAGCATACACTGGCCCGTTCCTCGAATAGATAGCATATATTGCCACAAATTATCCCAGCAAAGCAGCAATATTACACAGCCTGCAGAAGTCTCGGCTGCACAGGCTACAATTACACATCACACACACAATCACTCTAACACCTGACCAGTTCCCAGGTTACAATTAGCTTAGCTTAGGTTTTTGGCAGACAGCAGCAAATATATAGCAGTACAGGAGACCACATATACTGCCAGTTAGTACACTGGATAGTGGAGACGTAGTAGGTAGGCAGGTACGTACGTAGGTGGGTGGATACATATATAGATATACATAGCTAGTAGCATGGCTGCTTGACAGAAGAGAGGGAGCATGCTTAGGTAGGTTTATCTGATCTGGAAATGGTTCAGCGGCGGGTTCCCCGGGTGGGTACGCCCGTCCTGGTCGGCGTGGCGGCACCCGTCGCCGCCGTTGGCCTCCGCCGAGCTCTTCCTCCGCCGCTCGTTGTGCCCGGCCAGGCGCCGGCGGCAGCTGCGCTTCTGGTCGTCGAACTCCAGAAGCTCGTGGAACCTGCAATGCAATGCCGATCAAGAGCAGCAGCAGTTTTCAGACAGAGACGACAAGAAACAGGCACAACATTGATAGCAACACCAAACAAAGTACCAAGAGATGAAAACTACTCGCAGCACGTGAAGTGAAGCAGCAATACAAAATTTTGCCGCGTAACTGGAGCGAATTAAACGAAGCTATTTTTGCAGCTGTACCGGTGGAATCTGGTGCCGTGCTCATGCATGTGCATGCAAAAGCAGAGACAGTCTATTTAGTCCTGTTTATCCGTACAAAGACCCCGAACTTCCCCTACACCGCCAATAATTAACCTCCAATTTTTAGCTTGCAATTTACAACGGTGCATTGATCGATTTAACACGGGGTACCTGAAGAACAGAGCATGTGTGTGTGTGTGTGTGTGTTGCTCTGCAGGAGTGGTTCTGAACTCTCGTACATTATGGTCAGAGCATCATTCATAGTTCTAGTTCTACGGTTCCTGGTTCAATTTATTTTTCGAGTTACAGGTTATGAAAAATCATGATGGCTTTCTGAATCAGAGGACCACATTTGGTTTGTTTGTTCCACTTGAATTCACCACCTATGAGTAATCAAGAACTTCTGTAGCAATGTCTTTGTCGACACCTTAAAACTGCACTAGGACAGCACGAACAGGGCCAGCGACCAACTGCACTCTGGAAATGAACCGGTCCACCAGTACCACCACCACCACTACTGCTAGATTAACTTCAAGCTACACTGTTAATCCCACTGGTGTACCCTCCTTTTGAAAAGCACACGTTAAAATCTAGACAATAGAAGGACTCGTCTGTTCAGGAAAAATGCCAAGGTGACAAGGGAATCTAATATATACGGAGATAGAGCAACATGCAATTGTAGTGTTCCTAAAGAGCAAAGATGTCATTTAACCACAAGAAACATAAAGCATCTGAAAATATGCAGCAACCGGTCGGGCCACAGGTGAACAGATTAATCTAGGACTGACCACCACATCTTCTATCAAGCACCCAAACATAGCTAGCAGTGAAGGCACAGACTGTTTTGCAGCTAAACTGCTCGGGGAGCCAGAAGCTGCCCTGGCCATGGGTTTAGGCAAATGGCAAGGACCAAGTCAAGTTGTGATCATCTGCACCGACAGGAGCTAAATGTCTGTGTCCCATAAAGAATATGTACAGCCACTGCCACAGCCACAGAGCCACTATCCTTCCCAAGCAAACAAGAAAGGACAATGATGTGCACTATGGTCTATGGTGCACTAACAAAGCAAGAAAAGAATCCTCTGGATGACATGTGAGACCTCAGACCTGGTTTCTCTTATCCCACTTCTTATCACTGTAAGCTTGCCAGAGATAATACAAACAGGGTTACTATCTAGCATAAATTAAACAGTAACCTGCACTAATACTTTTCTTTTCTTGAGCCTGGCCTCTTATCACAGACTATCAGTGTTGATTGGAAGGCTACCAAGAACGAAGCCAAGAGGTATAGCCTCATGCATAGTGGTTCTAAAATGAAATCGTCTTAGAATTTCCACTTGAAGAGTTTTGTGAAGGTTGCAAGAAAGCTAGTAAGAGCCAAATTAATGGATAATCTATGCACTTGTTCATATATGGAGTACCTTTAGAAGGAAGGAAGGAAGGAAGGAAGGAACCAACTGATCATGAAGAAAATGGATCCTAATTAAGAGGACGTGCTTGTGAATTTGTCCTTACCGGCTGCATTGCTGGCAGAAGCGCTGGCGGAGGCCGGCGACGACCACAACAGCAGCCTTGGCGTGCGCCTCGCACACCTTGTGCCTGCGGTGGTACCGCTTCGCCTCGCTGAGGTCGGCGCCGCACCTCTCAGCCTGGCAGCTCGGCCCGCCTGCCCCAGCCGCGCCCGTCGCCACGGCGCCAGCAGCACCACTGCCCCTCCTCACCGCCACCGCCGCGGCAGAGGAGCTCGAGCCGCCGACGGAAACCACAGGAACGTTCACGAGCTTCAGCTTCTGGTCCTCCTCGCCAGACATCCCGTCGGCTCGGGCCACGTCGCCGGCCGCAGCTGCGGCGGCGAGCGCGGCCATGGACGCTGCCGAGGAGGACTTGCGGGACTTGTCCTTGCGGTCCATGCCTTCCGGTGAGGCGCGATGAAGATGAAGCTAGTTAGGGCTCTTCTCGGGAAGCTGTCGCGGAAGTGGAACTGTGGAGCTAGCTGATGAGTGGAAGGAGAAGGAGAAGAAGCGGAGGGGGTGGAAGGAAAGGTCGAAAGGGATATAAAGGCGGGTGCCGTATGTGTAGAGGCAGGGCGCACATGTGGGCGCGCTGCTACACACAATACGGTCCTGGTCTTTGTATATACTGTAGAGTACGCACGTACTAGTACGTAGGCACGGCTAAACATACTGACATGTTAAGTCACATGGTAACACCGCTGACCCAACAACCCAAGGACGTAAAATGGATATGCCATCTAGCAACTCTAACAAAGTCGTCATATAGCCCCAACCGCCATTAAAACGATTTTAGATGTAAGAGCATCTACAACCGGGCGTCTCAAACCCGCCTCATACGTTCGAGCGGGCCATCCGGTCACTGATTGATCACGATTTTTTGACCAGACGGGCTCCTTAAATAAGCCTCAAACGCCCAGGCTAACCGGCACCCCACATATCCAGCTTAAATATGGGGCGGATATAAGGGCGGCCGGGCATGCCCGCCAGGTCGGACCCGACAGCCCGACCCCACCTCAAAGTGCAACAAATCCACCAAACCCTTTCCCCTCATCCCGTCGCCCCCCAAACTTTCCCGCGCCCGGACCCTCGCCGTCCTCCACCCTTGCTCCCAATCCTAACCACCGGTCCCGATCCATCATCGGAGAAGACGTCCAGCCCGACCCAGACCGCCATGGCAGAGACGCAGTCCGCCTCTTCCGTCGGCGGGTCACTTCGTCGGCTGCGACTTGCAAGGCGGAGAACGTCGCCTGGGAGTTGCAGCGGAGACACAATCCGCCTCGCCCGTCAGCGGGTCACTTCGTGGGCTGCGACTTGCAAAGCGGAGAACGTCGCATGGGAGTTGCGGCTACGCCGGCAGCGAGAAAGGAAGGTGGCGGCGGCCAGGGAGGTTCGGACATGGTGGAACAGCTATCTCCTCCGCCGCGCCCGGATCCCCGCACCCCTTCCATCCGAGTGCCGACGCAGATTACGCTGTTTGACCCCGTTGGGACAGAGGATGATTCGACTGCCTACTGGGCCATTCTGGACAACTTTCTACCCACACATATGCCGACGGTCGACGTATGTGACTCGCCGCAGCTCGTTCGGGCACAGATGAGCACGGGCATCAAAAGTGCCCGAGCTGCCCTCGACATGTTCAACGGAATGACCGAACAATAGTCGGTGCATTTTATTTGCTCCTGTCTGATCAGATTTTTGCATAAACCACTAGTTCATTTCGCACATGATGAATGCTTGCAAACCATAATCATGTAGGAGGCGTTCTTTTCGAACATGATCAATGACAATGAAGATCCGACCGAAATGGAATATGAATTGGAGGCCACCACCGCATTTGAAGTTGGGATAACATTCAATCCCAGTCTGAGCAAGAAGAAGAAGAAGACCAAGACGCTGAAGGCAAGAGGTTCAGCATTCTCAAGATTTGAGGACATCTTGTTTGTCAAAGCTTGGTTTGCCACAACGATGGATCCAATATGCGGCACCAAGCAAAAGGGGAACACATATTGGATGAAGATTTGGAAGGAGTATCACGAACAAAAGAAGTATGTGGAACCGCATCCTATCGTGACCACCCGCAATGTGGCATCTCTCCAACATTGTTGGGGGGTCATTCAAGGGGAAGTGAATAAGTACGTCGGCTACTACTCACAAGTGACCAAACGCCCTCAAAGTGGGATGGGAGTCGCAACTCATGTAAGCTCAATTGCTTCATCTTGTCGCCATTTGCATATGATTCTTGTGTTTGCATTCTCGCGCTCATACATATGTTGTTTGCTAGATGACGGTGGCAGCCACTTTGTATCATGAGGTGGAGAAGAAGCCATTTGCGTTTAGCCATTGTTGGGTCATATTGAATGGCAAGACAAAGTGTTAGCAACTTGTGGCCGATCTCAAGTCCGGCAAGAAGAGAAATGATGGCTCAAGCTCCAACCAATCAATTGGGTTGGACAATCAAGAGGACGATGTTGTCATGATGAATGGAAAAGCCACCGTGCCAAAGGATAACCGCCAAGTCATGGGAAAACAGGTGGGAGAAGGCACATGCCGCCCGTGATGCCGCAGCTACAAAAATGTCCTCCACATGGACGGACATTTTTTGGTGAGGGAGAACAAGAAGGATGTAACACCCTCGATGCGACTATAGCTCCCACGTGTCGAGGCACAACTTAGAGACATAATCGCATTGAAGGCATATGTCGCAAGTTAGGCAATCTTCACAACATCCCATATAATAATAATAAAAGGGGAGATAACATAGTTGGCTTACACTCGCCACGTCAATCAAGTACATAAATAACATTACATCATCCATACACTCAAGGCCCGACTATGGCGCCAAAATAAAAGAGAACCCAACATGCGACACGGTCCCAATCACCCCCAACTGGGCACCACTACTGATCGTCGGGAAAGGAAACATAATATCGTTGAGAGTCTTCGTCGAACTCCCACTTGAGCTCATACGCGTCTCCTGGAGCGGAATCATCAGGCCCTGCATCTGGTGTAGTAGTAATCTGTGAGCCACAGGGACTTAGCAATCTCGCACCCTTGCGATCAAGACTATTTAAGCTTATGGGGAAGGCAAAGGTAAAATATGAGTGGAGCTGCAGCAAGCGACTGGCATGTATGGTGGCTAACTTATTCGCAAAAGAGAGCGAGAAGAGGAGGTAAAGCACGAGCGAGAAGCTAGAGAACAACCTGCGCAAACATTACTCCAACACCGTGTCCACTTCCCGGACTCCGCCGAGAAGAGGCCATCACGGTAACACACTCGGTTGATTCATTTTAATTAATTAAGGTTCAAGTTATCTACAACCGGATGTTAACAAATTCCCATCTGCCCATAACCGCGGGCACGGCTTTCGAAAGTTCAATCCCTGCAGGGGAGTCCCAACTTAGCCCATGACAAGCTCTCACGGTCAACGAAGGAATAGACCTCCTACCAAGACATTCCGATCAGACTCGGTATCTCGGTAACTCAAGACACTTCGACAGGTTAAAACAAGACCAGCAACACCGCCAGAATGTGCCGACAAATCCCGATAGGAGCTGCACATATCTCTTTCTCAGGGCACACTCAGATGAGACATCCTACGAGTAAAAACCAACCCTCAAGTTGCCCCGAGGTGGCCCCGCAGTCTACTCGGTCGGACCAACACTCAGAGGAGCACTGGCCCGGGGGGGTGGGGGTTAAAATAAGATGACCCTTGGGCTCCGGTAACCCAAGGGAAAAAGAGGCTAGGTGGCGAATGGTAAAACCAAGGTTGGGCATTGCTGGAAAAGCTTTAATCAAGGCGAACTATCAAGGGGTTCCCAATATAACCCAACCGCGTAAGGAACGCAAAATCCGGGAACATAACACCGATATGACGGAAACTAGGGCGGCAAGAGTGGAACAAGACACTAGGCTAGAGGCCGAGCCTTCAACCCTTTACCAAGTATATAGATGCATTAAGATAGTAAGACAATATAATGATATCCCAACAAGTAAATAAAAGATGTTCCAACAAGGAACGGCCTCCGATCTTCACCTGCAACTAGCAACGCTATAAGAGGGGCTGAGCAAAGCGGTAACATAGCCAATCAACGGTTTGCTAGGACAATGGTGGGTTAGAGGTTTGACATGGCAATGGGAGGCTGACAAGCAGAAGGTAGGCATCGTAGCATTGGCATAGCAAAAGAGCGAGCAAACTAGCATAGCAAAGATAGTAGTGATTTCGAGGGTATGATGATCTTGCCTGCAAAGCTGTCAGAGTTGACTGGACCCTCAAAAGCAAACTCAACGGGCTCCTCGTTAGCGAACTCGTCTCCCGGCTCTACCCAAACAAGACAAACAAGCAACAATGATACAATCAACCACGTGCAAACTCAATCAACACGATGCGAAGATGATATGCTATGCGGGATGCGATGCGGAATGCAAAATGCAAGATATGACAGGAAATGCATGAACCTGGCCTCAACTTGGAATTCCAAGGGTGCCACTGGAAAGATGAGATAAAATCGCTTGAAAACGATATAAAGAATGCCGGAATCGGAGTTACGGTTTGGAAATGGCAAGCGTTTCAAAAATGACACCGGCCTGCGATTTACAGCAAGTAGGCATCTAAATGCAATGAGATGAACATGCTACAACACCCAAATATGACAACAAAATACATGGCAGGGATGCACACAAGATACTTAACAAAAGTCTAGCACTGAGCTACGGCCAATTCATCCACTAACAGGTTCAAACAAGCATGGCAAAAATGCATATGCAAAACTGATTTCAGACTTAGTGAAATTAACACTTGTCTGAAATTTCAGATCATATAGTCCTCTTCGGAGCAACAAAACAACATGCTACAGGACCTGAACATGACAAAGAAAGACATGGCATGGAGCTACTCAACAAGCTTAACAAAAGTCCCTTAGTGACCTTGAGCCAAAAGGGATCACAAAATATACTAACAAGCACACGAACATAGCAAAAACATAATCAGTTTTCAGACTTAGTGAAAACTGAGACATGCTGAAATATAACTCACGAAGGCATGTAAACGAGCTCGATGCACTCATTACGGTGCAAGTCATGGTAAGGCAAGCATACATCCATTAAGAAGGCACAAAATTCTAGCTAGACATGGCAATAACAATGGCATAGCATGCACGGATCAACTACAATAGCATCGGCAAAATCGCAAACGAGTTGACGATCTGCCCAGATTCACCACGAGACAAAAGTAGAGTTCGATTGACTCAAGCTAGGGTGCTCCATAATTGCAAAAAAATACATGGATGGATAGATCATAACATGATTAACAAAACTCCTTTACTGATCATCCTCAAAAGAGGCACGGATCACTAGGAAACAAGCTGAACATATGGCATCATGAACTAAATAATCCCAG